GCTTAGCCCTGTGCTAGGCTTGTGGCAACTAGCAAATAGAACACTGGGTCTGGAGTCAGGAAGTTGTGTGATCATTTTAATCTTATCCCAGTCTTGGTGACCCCATTTGGAGTTTTCTTGGCAAAAATACTGGGGTGGTTTGCCATTTCTTTCTCCAGTTCATTTTACAGATGAAAGTTAAGTGACTTACCCAGAGTCACGCACAGGTAGTAAGTGTCTGAGGCCAGATTTGAACTCAGGTCTTCTTGACTCCAGGCCCAACACTCTATTCACTGCCACTTAGCTGCCCCAAGAGTCAGGAAGACCTGAGTTCAAATTGGACCTCAGATGCTTAGCTGTATGACCCTAGGCAAGTTAGCAAGGCCTCAATTTTCTCATCTGTAAAATGGAGATTTTAATAACACCTACAACCCAGGTGAGGACAAAATGAAATAATGTTTATAAAATGCTTTGTAAACCATAAAGCCCTATGTAAAATGCTAGCTGTTATTGTTGTTATTATTATAATTATGGGGAATGCAAGCAAAGACATTCGTTGCCCTCAAGGAGTTTGCGGTCTAGATGAGACTCTTTCACACGAAACAATTGGAGAACAGTACAAGATGCTCTATAATTAAAAACTAAATCATACACTAAGTGTCATCCCCCCTGGCTGCTTCATTGGGCTTTTCCATTATGTGCAGAAACTCATCTTCTTGCAAGAGCAAATCAGCTATGAAATTGCTGAAATCCTCAATCTCTCCTGTCTCTTGGGCCCCTGTCTCCCTCTGCCTGCACATCAGAGAGCTCTCCTCAGATCTGTTTAAAGAGTCCCAGGCAGTCACCTCATCATTTCCCACCTGGCTGTAGGACTTCATCATGCCCCCTTGCCTGGTCCATCCATAAGCTCCAGGGCATCCTTCTTCCTCTCCTTTTCTTCCTCCCCATCCCCTTTAAGGTTCTTTCTCTGTGTTGTCTTCCCCCATTAGATTGTGAGCTCCTTGAGGGCAAGGACTGTCTTTTACCTTTCTTTGTATCCAGACTACTTAGCATAGTACTTGGCACACAGTAGGTGCTTAATAAATATTTACCAATTACTGACTGAGTCAGAGAAGGGAAGGATGTCTGTAGGGAACTGACTTCTATTTCAAAATCTTGAATGAGAGTTCAGGTAGTTCCAATCTGAATACTATTTTTATAATTATTATTATTGGAAGTTCCATCTTTAACCCCAGCTTTCCAGCAGCCTGAAGACTCATGTAACAGGATCTCAAAGCGTAACCAAAAATTTTTTTTAATTACTTCTCCCCAGCCAGCTGTACTAAAGAAAAGCTTGAATGACTTCAGAATTTTGTCTAGGACTTGGAGGGCATGTTCTTTCTTAGTCACTGGTCTATCCATGAAGTATGAAACCTCAATATGTTTTAAGGAGATACCTACCTAGGGGACCAACACAATGGAGTGGAGGTCCAGAGGTCCAGAGAGGTCACCTAGGATTTTAGAATTAGAAGAGTCCTAGATACCACCTTGTTTAATTCATACCTAAATAATAACCCCTTCTATAGGACTCCATCTCCCATAAGTAGTCATCCAGCCTCTACTTAAATACCTCCAATAATGGGGAGCCCATTGTCTTCCCCAGACAACCCATTGGGCAGTTCTAACTATTAGGAAGTTTCCCAGGACATCACACCTAAATCTATTTTTTTCAGTACCTTCTTCTCTATTGATTATCTCTAGTCTGTATCTTATTTCTACATCATTATTGTCATATTATCTTCCTCATTAGACTGTGAGCTCCTTGAGAGCAGGAACTGTTATTTTCCCTTTGCTTTGTATCCCCAGCACTTAGTGTAGTGCCTGGCACATAATAGGTACTGAATAATGTTGGTGTCTGACTTGACTTCCCTCTAGTATTCCTAGGTCTTCCCTCTGGGGCCAAAAAGATCAAATCTATTCTCTTTTCCATATAGTATTAGCCCTTCAGATACTTGAACACAAGTATCATTTCTCTCCTCACTCTTCTTGAGGGTAAACTTTCCCTATTTATTTTCACCTGACAAGTCCAAAGGGCACAAACTTGAGGCCCTTCATTCTGGTTGCTCTTCTCTGGACACTCCAGCTTATCAATGTCTCACCTAAAATATGATATGTAGACCTGAACACAATGCCACAGATGGGATCTGATCAAGGCAGAGTACAGAGGGACCATCACCTTTTTTCTGGAAGCTATGTAGTCTGAAATCCAACTAGTATGTGACTGGAGGGGACTTGGAGTACCGGGAGGAAAATTCCTTTTAAAACTGAACATCTGGTCTGGTTAACCAAGTGGGGGAAATGAAGGCTACATCAGAGAGGCCTCCAGAAAAAAAGCTATATTTTTTAATTGGCAACATTTCCAATCTAAAACTTTTGACCCTATTTAAAAAAAATTGCTTCCTACTTAACATCCGAAGATGTTCTTCTTAATAGCAGTAGGAGCTACATTATTTTAAATGTTGCAAGATCTCCCTCTTGGTCAGGAAAGTAGACTGTTACTCTGTTAGCTTTGGAGTATACAGTGTGACACTTATTTTTGTTAAGACATTAATGAGCCCAGGCAAAGGAAATCATCTTTTGCTGGATGAAATTGAAACTTGTCTCGTTTTCTCTTTGCAAAATGTGGAGACTGATTGGCAGTAACTGAGTCATTGGCAATAAATAATTCTTTTGACTTAGTGTTAAAATATCTTTGCTTTTGTTGTTCAGTCATTTTTAGTCACATCCAACTCTTCATGACCCCAATTGGGTTTTCTTGGCAAAGATCCTGGAGTGGTTGGTCATTTCCTTCTCTAGCTTATTATACAGATGAGGAAACTGAGGCAAACAGGGTAAAGTGACTAGCCCAGGGCCACACAGTTAGGAAGTGGCTGAGACTGGATTTGAACTCAGGAAGATGAGACTTCCTGACTCCAAGCCTAGCACACTGTCCATTGTGCCACCTAGGTGCCCCCAAATACCTTTGTACTCAGATTCTAATGGGTGAAGATTTTGCCCAGTTCTCCTTCATCTTAGTGCCTTCCCTCAAACAGTTCCCCCAACTCCTTTGAATTAATCTATTTAAGTAAAACTAAGTAGTCGTAGTTGTTATGTGGTGGAGATATAATTTTAAATTTCTACGAATAAAATATGTGTTATCTCACCCAGTGAATAATGATGCCAGCATTGTCTGGCTGACAGCAATCACCATTGGCCATCTTTTGGCACAGGTAACCCGCTTCCTACAAGGAAACACACACCTCTGCCTTTGACAGAAAACTGTTTGAGTAAGCTGAACACTGCCCAGCATGGGATTGGCCACGTAGATGGTCATGTTTCCCAAGGTGCCATGCTGTTATTTTACAATCAATGTCCATGAGTTTAAGTTGACTTATAGAATGATAGGATCAAAGAATATTAAGAGCTGGGAGGGAGGGACTTTGGAGATCATCTAACCCAACTTTATAGATGAGAAAATTGAGGCCCAGGGAGGTTATGCCACTTGGTAAGGTTCACCTTGATAACTAACCTCAGGACCAAAATGAAAACCTAGGCCTCAAGACTCCTAATTCTGTTCTCTTTCCAAATAAGTTAAATTACCAATGCCTGTGGGCACCTTATTGTCAACTGAGAGTCTCAAGGCATCTCCTGAGGGACCTGAGACATCAAGTCCCACAAGTCCTATGTCAGAAGTAGAATTTGAACCCAAATCTTCCTGACTCCAAGACTGGCACTCTATCCACTCCCCCAACACTGGATGTATTCCTCCAGTTATCAACACAATTGTTTAATTGGTCAAATGAATACTGTGTCAAAATGAATCTGAGGAAGTTGAGGGAATAGAGACAATTAAGTGAACCCCACTGACTCCATCTTGTGACTCAATTGTTTTTTCTTTCACTGGCCAGGATGGTAAAAGGAAAAGAGATCGGGTGAGGGGTGGCAGGGTGGGAAGGGGATAGAAGTCCTCCTAAACATTAAGTTGAAGATAATCTCTATGCTGTAATCAGAACATCAAAGCATAATCGTTCCCCATCCAATCCTTTGTTGAGCGCTTAAATGAACTTGGTTCACAAATGAATCTTTGCACATATAAACAGCTAAGAGATGGTGAATAATTGTGTATCCAAACAAAACCAATTGGCAAGAACATCTGGTGCTGCTCATAGGAAGCTCCTGGCTATCGATCACACCTTGAAAAATGAACAGGGTGTGCCCCATCTGCCCTTCAAAGGCAGGAAGGGTTGAGTGACCTAGGAAAATGGAGCCCAATGTGAATCATAAACACGTGGTGTGTCCCTTTGGTCTGGGCAGATCATTATTAACTATGACACACAGTCTTTCTTTCTGATTTCATTATTCTGCTTGCTATCACAAGACCCCAACTTTTTAGACATTCAAGGGAGATTAAAGGGGGTGGGGGGAGTGTGGAAAAAAGGCTTTTAAAATCTCTGATTAGCTCAGAAAACATATTTACTTACTTTACCAGGAAGTTTTTTTTTTCTTTGTGTGTATGTGTGTGTATACACGTGTGTGTGTGTGTGTGTGTGTGTGTGTATGTGTGTGTGTGTGTTTCTCTAAGAATGCCAAGAAGGGATTAGCTTATAGCTGGTATGTTTGCCAGATTTCTTTTGATTTCAAGTTTATGCAATTAAGGAGTTCCCAGAAAGATTTAAGTTTCTCATGTGCCTCAAAACATGCTCCCTTAGATGCGCTGGATATAGAGGTCAAAAAAGATCCACTTAGTGGAAGGAAGAAAATGGAGGTAGGAAGGTCTTATTCTAAGCCTTCTTGACCATATTTTGCATTCTGACCTGCCAGAATGAGCTAGGTGTGGTGGAAAGCCTAAGCAAGAGACTAAAGCAAAAAATTGACTAATGCTGGAATAAATTAAAAATGAATGATTAAAGATAGAAATCTTAGAATAATCAGTTTCAAGCTAGAAGAGGACCTAGTGGTCATCATTTAATCTACATTTTATGTATATGTTATGTTGTATAGTTTTCACATATTTATGAATCCAATTTATTTTATAGATGAGGAATTGAGACCCAGAGAGGTTAGGTGATTTGTCCAAGCAGTAAGTAACTGAGACAGAAATCAAACCCAGCTCATCTAATTTCAAGTCCTGTGCTCTTCTCTCTTTACTGTGCTTGCTTTTGAATGGAGAAATGATTAATCATTTAGCAAGTGTTTATCAAGTATCTGGGTGTTGTCTACCCCAAGCATGTGAAGACTTCCCTGGTAGAATGGGCGGATGAAAACAATTTGTTCCAATGGCCACGACAGCGGCTGAAACAGGCACTTGCAGAGTGCTTCAAGCTTCGTCAGACCACAAAGACGACAAGGCCATCCACTGCATCTGGAGCCATTGCCAGTCATCTTGACTTTGGTCTTGCCACTGGACTTTGATGACTCTGGAAGAGAGAGTGAGGCTGATGATTTTGTGCAGCTCTGCCTCACTTACATCCTGTTCACCCTGTGATGTTATTGGTCCTTTTCCAAATGAAGGACAAACAACATTATTGCATGTTTGCTGTTGATTGGCTGATTGATTGCTTAGCCCTGTGCTTCGTGAAGTGCAGAATATAGAGATGCATATAACATTGATATAACATTGCCCGTACCTTTGAGGATTTTAAAATCTAACTGAGGAGAAGAATATACTAACCCTGCCTCCCCCTCCACCCACCAAAAAAAAAAGGGTAAGAGTTTGTAAGCAAGTACTAGTTTTGTTTTGTTTTTATGTGGTTTTGATAGATGGCTGTAAGTCCAGTCTGTTGGTCTGCTCCTCTCTAGCCAAGGAGTTCAGTTTAACAAAGTTTTAGGTGCCTCAAATTTTCTAAAATTATCTTCTTCTAACCTCATTTATGGATACAGAAGCCACTGACTTTGACAAAACCCTCCCAGGCCCCTTCTGCCATTCCATCCCAATCGCATCTACTCCCCAATCTGATGAACATTATGTCCACTCTATGGCAATGGAATGAGATAGAACCCCACCTTGACCAAGAGAAAGATCTTTCTCTGAACTCCTCATTGTTTTTCCCTCTGGAAGGGTGGACTTCAGATCCTCTGACTTGGCACTGCTTCCTCAATCTTACTTTAAAAGATCTGGGGCCTCAATCTGCTGAACATTCTTCTCTCATCCACCTGATTTGGACCTGTGTTCTGACCTGGATGGTTTGAAGCCATTTCTCTATCCACACTAGGCTTAGCCATGGTACTTCTAGCCTTGATTGGCAACACAGGAGAGATTCCTGATTACAACCTGATCTCCTGGAAAGCATGAAAATTCCACCGAATACCGAGCTGATAGGGGTGAATGTACCATTGATATGTAATTCCTGTAGAAGTATGGGTACTCCAAAACATATCCAGTAAGATAATCAGTGGATGCTGAAGAGTGTAGTGTGGGTTCCAGAATGTGTCCTGGAAGCAGCAGCTGCTGTCTCTGGCTTTCACTGTTCATTAAAAACAAAACAAACAAACAAAAAACATTGATTAGTAAAATAAATATGGTACTTTCCAAGGGGACTTATCAAGTCAGTGATCTTAAGCCCCTACTATGTACAAGCCTCTGTTCTAGATGCTGATGGGAATCTGGAAAATTCACTTCAGTTAGAGACACTTTTATTAAGTGTTTACCATGTCATTGGATTTGCATTTAGAAGGGAACTCAGAAAGTATTGAGTCCAACCCAATCACTTAACAAATGAAGAAACTGAGGCCCTGAGAAACAAAGTGATTAGCCTCATATCACATAAGCAGCAAGCAACAAGGTTAAGATTTAAACCTGATTCTTCCGATTCCAGAGTCAGTGTTCTTTCTGCTATAGCATCTGCAGGGTGCGAGAGATACCAAGGTTAAGAATAATTCAGTCCCTGGCCTTAAGGAGCTTCCAGTCCAGTAGAAGAATGAAACATGTAAATTAAGGATTATTGTACAAATTACTGTATAATCAATGCATGGGAGAAATGCAAGGGGATGAGAAATTAGGAAAGGGAGGGGTCCTTTCAAGCTAGGAGTGAGACACAATTGATGAAGATCAAAAAATGCTTCATGGATCCAGGAGGTGACAGTTGAGTTAGGCCTTGAATGAAAGAGAAGTATTCAAACATGGAATGTGAATCTGTCCTAGTCATAGGGGATGTTTATGCAAATAAACAAAAGTAGGAGAAGAGAATAATTAAAGGATAGCTAGTATCTTCCTTTGGCTAGAGCACAGAACTTATGAAAGTTAGTAATATAAAATAAGTCGAGAAAGTCCGGTGTGGAGCCCTGTTGTAGAGGGTTTAAATGCATCAGTACAGAGTTTTATATTTTTCCTCTGGGTAATGGGATACTGATCAAGGCTTTTAAAAATATGGCAACAGCATAATCAGCCCTGTGTCTTAGGAAGATTACTTTGGCAGTGGTATGAAGGATGGATAGAAGAGGCATGAGAGACTCGAGGCAGGCAGCCCAGTTAAAAGACTGTTAAAATAGTCCACGCATGTAGAACTTCATCAGAGACTTTCCATTATGTCTAGAGCTATTTCTCCAGAGGCCTTTTTTGTCCTTCCCCTTGGTATGGTCCATTCCTTCATAATAAACACTTGCTCAGAATCTAATAAAAATTCACTTATATTTATCTGGAGATAAATCCCATTATAAAAGTCCAGATAACAGTTAAATAAATTTTAAGGGTAAATGACGCATATTTGCCTGGAATTGGTGAGTCAGAGTCGGACAGAGAAATGGAGAGGGGATACATTCATCTTGTCACCGGCCAGCAGAAAATTCTGTCAAGTCAGGTCATTCCTTTTTTTTTTTTAAGGCAATTGGAGTTAAGTGACTTGCCCAGGGTTACACAGCTAGTAAGTGTCAAGTGTTTGATCTGAGGCCAGATTTGAACTCAGGTCCTCCTGACTTCAGGGCCAGTGCTCTATCCACTGTGCCACCTAGCTGCCCCCTAGTCAGGTCATTCCTTAAGGGAGACAGTGAGCCAAGTTAAGGCTCCAAATTCTCATGGTTATATTTACTTTGGGGTAGCAGCACCCTTTCATTGCAGTTGACTGGCTGGTGCTGGCCTTTGGCCACATACTACTGGACCCCTGTTCTCTCTATGGGGCACAAACGCTCTAGAACTTGCCTCGTCCCACAGTGGCTTTACTTCCCATGATTCTTCAGTTCCTTTTCCAGAGGGAAACTATACTTTCTTTCCATCAGCCTCCTTGTTGACAAAGGACTATACATATATCTTATCTCCCCAACTAAACTGTAACTCCATTAGGGCCAGAACCACTTCTTGTATGTCGTATTCTCAACACCAAGCATAGGGCTCTCAACAGGAGGTATTCACTAAATGTTCACTGATCATAAGATTTTGCAGAAGGAACAAACCAGCCCAGGATATGCTCCTATTTTTGCAAAGCCTGTAGCTTAGAAACACTTGATTTAATCCCGTGCTGCTTTGGATCACGGCCTGGAACAGACTCCAGTGAGGCTTCCATGAAGCTATTTACAGCAGTGGAAATTGGCTGGAATGCACCCGAGCTCCATTCCTGACCTTTAAAAAACATACATTTTAAAACACAGTTCCCTAAGTTCCTGCCCCATCTGCTGCTTTCTGCCTGACCAGAAGTAAATCTAGTCTGTTCTTAGAGTAGAATATTTAGAACTGATTTTGCAGTGAAATTGCAATAACACCACTGGCAGAGGACGGCAGTATCGTGCAGGGAGGACAAGTTAATGATCCTCACCTTTACATGGTCTGCATCAGAGGTGTTGAATATGTGGCCTACAACTTCGTGCAGCCCATAACACCCCTCGGTGTGGCCTGGGCCAAATGAAAATGTAATTGGGAAATATTTAACAAAATAAATGAAAAGACAATAAAACATAGTGATTGTGACATTTTAAAACTAAGTCAATATGCCTCTTGCAGGAATTTTCATGTGTGGTTCAGTGGCCTCTGTTTCTATTTAAGTTTGACAGCATTGGTCTGTATGAATCATTTGGGTATTCATGTTGAGATTTGCACTTGTTCTTCTAAACTGCCAGAGGACTTTTTGGCGAATTGTGAATTAGCTGCACCCAGCAGCCTAGAAAAGATTCTATTCAGCCCACTAAAGTTCCCATCTTATCTCTAGAGAATGACTTAGATTACTTATTTTGATTCCCTCAACACCCAACTCAAGTTCAACCTCTTCCTTATCCAACCACAGTAACCCAACTAAGCTTCCTTTTCTCTCTTCTCCTATAGCATATACCATACTGTCTTTTGTATATATCTATCCCTGAAAATATGCAACCTAAGATAATAGGCAACATGATAAAGTAAGGGAAAAGTAATGCATTCACAGTCAGAAGTCTTGGATTCTAACACTAGTTTGACCTCTTACTAAATGGATCACTTGGAGCAAGTCATTGTATGATCCTCAGTTTATTCATCCATAAAATGAAGATTGGTCCACTGAAGAAGTATTTATTAAGCACTTGCTATGGGCAGGGTACTGTACTAGGCATTGTGGAAGATACAAAGAAAAATAAGAAACAATCCCTTCCCTAATGGAGCTTATCTATTCATTCAACAAATATTTATAGTCTAATAGGAAAGATAGGACACCAACTATAATATAAGGTAGAATGTGAAAACTTGATAAGAGAGCTACAAAATATTGTGAGAGTTTAGAAGAGGAAAAGACCATTTTTAGTTAATAATAATAATAATACTTTGATAATATGTGTGAATATGCTGTCTGTAAAGCATTGTACAAATGCAAATCAATTAATTGGCAAGTACTTATTCACCTGTGATGTGCTGGAGAACCATGCTAGTCAATGAGACTATAAAGACAAAAATAACACAGTTAAGTACTATTGTTGGGAGGAAATCTGGCTCAATAGATGTAAAAGAAATTTATTTGAGATCCTTAAAGCAACAGTGTTCTGTGATATTGAAAAATTATTATCATTTGCTCTACTCATTTTAATCTTAATATATACAAATATGGATTACATTTAAAAATCACATTTTAGTAAAGTTTTATTGGGCTAGGAATCCCCTTGCATTGTAAAAGATGTGACTCCTCAATAAACTGATACCAGTATATTACATATTTTGGGGATGGGGATAGAGAGAGTGATGGAGTTGGAGACGTAGGATCTGGGTGATTTTGTGTAAGTATCTCTGCCCTCTCTGCCTCAGTTTACCCATCTGTGAGGAAACAAATGAGGTTCACCTAGATAACTTCTAAGGTCTCTCCAGTTTTAAATCTTTAACTCTGTAACTCAATATGTGATAGATAAAAGGAAGAGAAAAATGAAGTCAAGTCAGTCAACAAGCTTTTATTAGGCTCTTACTAAGTGCCAGGTCCTGTGCTAAGCATTGGGAATACACAGAAAAGCAGAAAGACAACCCTTAAGGGCCTTACAGTCTGATGGAGGAAGATAACACATAAAAGGAAGTAGAAGGGGTGGGGAGAAGGGGAGAAAAGTTCCCCAGTGGAGGCATGGTAGACACGGAAATCCAGAGAGTTGAGCAAGGAGTCCAGAGAACAATGAAAGAAGAAACTAGTGAAGACCAAGAAGAAACAGTCATAATTTGGAAGAGAACTATGAGAGATCAGTGTCTTAGAAGCTTGGGAAAAGCTAGCCCAGCAAGAAAGGGAGGTGACCATGTCAAAGGCTACAAAAACATCCAGGAGTTTGGGGAAGAGGCAATGCGGAGATCATCACTAACCTTGGACAGAGATATTTCATTGAAATGCTGGGCACGGAAGCCAGTTTGCAGTAGGGTTGGGGGCTATGAGATCTTAGCTCTAAATCTGGAAGAGACCTCAAAGGGCATCTTGGTTCAACCCTTTCGTTTTACAGCTGAGCAAATGGAGACCCACCCACCTAAGGAGGTTCAGTGACCTGCCCAAGGACACACGAAGTAAATGTTAGAGGAATGAAGGGATGTCGAGGAGATGGAAAGACTGAGTGCCAAATACTCTTCTGCAGTTCTACAGTAAAGGAAAGGAGAGAAATGGGATCACAGGGTCATAGCTGAGAGCTGGAAGGGACCTTAGAGGTTATGTAGTTCAACTCTCTTATTTTACAGCAGAGTGAACTGAAGCCCAGGGAGGTAATTAACCCAAGTCTAGTAAATAGAAAGCCTGCAATTTAACTAAAATGTGTTAAGGAATCCAGAGGAGGGTTTATATTGATGTTTGATTATTTTCCAGGTTAGAGAAAATTAAGCATGCTTGTATGTAGAAGGAAAGAAGCTTAAGGAGAGAGGGAGATTTGGTGATGGGGAGGGAAGGAGGTAGGAAGTCTCCCATCTCTCCCAACTCCCCCCCTCCCCCTTCCAAGGCACCAAATCTGACCTGCAAAAGGAAACTTTTTGAGACAGGGAGGCTTGAGTGAGAATTCACAACTTCCCTTAATGTCCCACATTAAGCCATAGTTTATCTCATGTCACCATGTCATGTCC